ATCGGAAACACAGCTGGTAATATTTGGTTTTAATTCGGCTTTTATCGGGGTTTATTTTTTTGTATTTTTGTATTTTTGTATTTTGTATTTTTTGTATTTTGTGTATATTATTTGTTTTTAATATGCTGTGAACCGCCCTGAGTCCTATGGGAGAAGGGCGGTATACAAATTAAAATAATAAAAAAATAAAAAAAATAAAAAAAACATATATAAACACTCACACATAGAAAGAGACAATTCTGGTCTCTTTCAAGTCATGACACAAGGTCTAAAACTAAAAATAAGAGATTAGGTGTTCTTACCCAATTTGGTGTCCATGAATTGTTGGCTAAGCACATGACATCCCCAGAAGGCTCTTGCACAGCAGAGTAAGGATTATAGCTCAACTTATTTGCAGGACATCAAACTGAGGAAGGCAATTCAGATGACATTAGTCCTAGTGATAATGCCATCCAGCCATTGCTGTTCACTACACAATCCGAGTGCATCGATGTGGCTGGATGATACTAGCCTGTGATGCTATCTCTATTCCTGAAAAGAGATTGTCTTTTTGTTTTCTTTTTCTACTTAGGATTCTCCCCCATAAGGCAACTACTCAGCATGTTGCTTAGATTAAATTAATGGAGGACTGGTTAAGGCGGCTGACATTCTAATGCCCTTCTTCACATGACCATCTTCCTTCCATAAACTCTTTAGATAAACTGTTCTAAGTGATCCCTAATTTTGCTTCTCATCCAACAGCCATTCTGTCAAACCACTTCATACATAGAGAATGGGCGGGGTAAAGGGTAGTGTAGGGAAGGGGGAGGAGCCATGTTAAACCCTATTAATAACATTATTCCCCATGTGCTGTTTAATTATAAGTTACCATTGAGTTGTAAGCCTCTAGGGGTTGCTCCCAAAACATGTGGGGCTTCTGCAGCCTTGGGAAATGGACTGACATTCCAGGGGGGTCCCCAAGCTATAGCCGGAAAAGGCAAGATATCTGTATCTGTGGTAGTATTATTCAAATCCCACCTATTTATCATGTGCACCACATGAACAAAACAGGTGGATCTTGAACCACAACATCGTAGCAACCATCTTGGGTTTTTTTAAGCCTAATCTGTGACCATCCCTACACCCCTAGGATACCATTTTGGGGCTGCAAAGTTCCTGCCAATCAGCAAATATTTATTGTTTACTG